GACTGTTTCAAGTCAAGAGCAATCATCAGGACAAATGCGCATGTGGCCTGATGATTTATATTTACATACACTCCATCTCTGATATTGAGCACTTTATCTCATAAATATAGCATACCTTGAAACTATATATATATATATATATATATATATATATATATATATATATATATATATATTATCATCAAAAGACAGACTGTTTCGCTGTATCACAACTCTTCAGCATGGATTGACGTCTGATTTCTTCAAGCTGGGATCGAAACCTGAACGATTTGGTATCAATCAGAGATTCTACCCCTACGCTATTGTGGCACGGCAAAAACGAAAGGAAAATTTAAAGTTTTCTACGCGAAATACGTCAGTGGCCCGGAGAGTTCAATTCAATTCATTTGAAGAGCAATGCAATAATAGCTGTATGAGCCAGTGTTTTTAAAATTACCCTTTTCTCAAGAGTGTTTAACCGGATTTCCCGGGAGTATATATATATATATATATATATATATATATATATATATATATATATATATGTGTGTGTGTGTGTGTGTGTGTGTGTGCGTGCGTGTGTGCGTGTGCGTATATCTGGTAATATATCAGTGACATCTATCTATTACAGGAGAAATTTCGCTTGAAAGCACGAAATTTGGCCTAGCCTTATCGACTGCTCTCCCTGGCCTAGTCGGTTAAGGCGTGTCAATTTAAACGGTAGCTTCTTCTTCCTTGTGCGACGCAGGTTTCATTCCTGCCAGCGAGTGCATTTTTTTTTTCATAAGATTTCTCGAATATTCAGGCCACTAGACGAAAATAGATAAATATACTGTTTAATATATAAACTCAGCGCTTGCTCAAATACGAGTATTCATTAAAAATAACTTTTAAAGTGATAAAAATGTGCCGGGTCAGTAAAAAATTATCTCTCTCTCTCCTTCTCTCTCTCTCTCTCTCTCTCTCTCTCTCTATATATATATATATATATATATATATATATATATAGAGAGAGAGAGATATATTACTTTCGCCGCATTTACTAAGCACAAGGGTGAGCCTGTGGTTTTAAAGGTCGAGTTCAATAATGAGTTATAGATATTTAGTGTTTATATAAATATGCCAACTTTTCTCTTTTTATCTGTCAAAATCATTCAGTCGTTGCTCGAATGAGCATCATGAATTTCGTTCATGCGTGAAACGTATTACCAAATACGAATAAAAGTATGATACACAGTGTCCCTAGTTTCCTTGCCGTTTTTATTTTATAGTCCCCGCATTAATTTACTCACACCCAAATAGAAATTTATCAATTTAGAAATTTATTTTTGGACACTTAGTAATAAGTAATCAGGAACCCAGTGTGAATGAATTTGACAAGATCACTAACCAACGGCCAACAGCGAAGCGCTCTAAATATTTAGTTAACTCATTGTCTCCCGAGGAGCTTCTCCTGACGGTCGTCACATGTCGTTTCCAAAATGCAGCATAAAAGAAAAAGGCTCAAACTATCTCTCTCTCTCTCTTTCTCTCTTTTCTCTCTTTTGTCTTTACAAAACGTATGTCATAGAGACAAGGCGTGTCTCGTTTCCTCTCCACATAACTTCTTAATATGCAGCGAACCACGTGTCGCATCGTACACACCACAGTGTGCAAATACTGTAAGCTGATCCTTCTCCAATATAATCTCAACGCCTTCAATAAGTCGTTACGCACGCGGTACGTACGGACTAGTGCATCTTAATATACACATATTCTTTGGCCTTTTTTTACATCCTACCTATTTAGGCAAAAAAAAAAACGTTGTTATAAGTATCTACAAGCGCACCCAAAAGGCTACTGGCTATGACACAAGGTCATCAGCCGTACAGTGGAAAGATTCCGAAGTTCTCTTGTATATTTGCCTATTGGGGACGCCTCAGATGCCGGGCAATAAACCCAGTCACCGAGAAAGAAGTAATGCCTGGGGTGGGGAAGTCCCTTGAGGGCTTGGGCTTAATATTTAAAGAATATGATGAAATTCCATATACTAGGAGTTGCTTAGAGTTGAGATGAAGATGATTGGCACCCAGTGAGGATCGATCTCACTGCTCAGTTGTAATTGATCTAGCGAGACAAGCTTGCTAACCATTACACCTTGTCCGAGTGTTATAACACGTTATTATTATAGTTTTTTTTTCAGCGCGCCTATATCGCTAGCGAATGTGACACAAGGTCGAGGACTGAAGTGGTTTTGATGTGTATAATACATATATGCTTATATCGTTTGTAATTACATTCATTTTTCCAGTTTGATAAACCAATTCATGCGACGACAATATCATTATCACTACTAATAGTCAATGAGAATATGACAATATCATTATCACTACTAATAGTCAATGAGAATATGACAATATCATTATCACTACTAATCGTCAATCAGAATATGACAATATCATTATCACTACTAATAGTCAATCAGAATATGACAATATCATTATCACTACTAATAGTCAATCAGAATATGACAATATCATTATCACTACTAATAGTCAATCAGAATATGACAATATCATTATCACTACTAATAGTCAATCAGAATATGTGAGAAAGCCATGATTAAAGTTGGAATTACATGAGTCTATAGAACAATTTCGTCATCTGGGACGGTTCAGGTATCAGTGATTAACACTGACTCTCCGCCTTTAAGCGTTGATTGAAGAAGTGCCGAAGTAAAGTTAAAATGGCTTTAGTGTTACAGTTACCCATTTTAATATTTGATGAGTGAAACGGTCAGATTTTGAAGAATTAACAAATACTGAGTAAGTCAATGATAACATAATGCTAGGCGCCGCAGCAATGTGTGGTAGTTAGCGAAGATAGCCTGCTTGAACATTATTGTCGTGGAGTGAGTTCGATTCTCAATTAGCGCCTTACACAAAATTTGATATTAAATAGCACAACAAAGTTTGACATTTAAAAACAATCAAATTAATCTATGTATTTAGACATGTCGGTATGGGGTAATGGCTTAGGAAGCTAGTCTGGTTGACAAGTGTGTATAGTGCGTTTCATCCATACTGAGTGTTGCATACTTGTGGTCTAGTGGTAAAACTAAGCTGATTATTTTATGGGCAACTCGGCATAAAATAATGATTAATGAGCTAGATTGATTGACAATTTTTAGTTAGTAAGTTGATTTGTTTAACTGCATATCAACTCTTTATGAATCATTTAATGCAGAATTTTAATCTTTCTTGGGAGCGTTTAAGTAATAAAATGTGTTATTCTGCTTTTACAATTGAATACATGGTAGATGATACTCAGCTTTTCTGAATATACAAGTTTCTGTGGACAATTACTAAAGGCGGTGAAGTATGTTTCTTTTTAAAGTTATTTTGGAATACAGTTTGATTTCTTTAAGAAATATTATATGGCTTAATGTCATGAATGTTCATGTTGGTTGTTTGATTTTATTTAGCCACATATAAACCACTATAGATTTTATGATGTCAACGAATACTCGTTGCCACTTTTGTGATGCCAACGAATACTCGTTGTCACTTTCGTAATGCTAGTTGTAGTAGAGACTTTGTAATCGCAGATACAACTATAGTAACGCCGTTGAACAATACTGCTGTCAGACGCCTTCGAATAGCACTCGCACTAATAGTACTTGCTCAATAATACTCGATAGATTAGAGAATAGCATTCCGAATATTAATAAAGGATAGACTAGAAATAACGATCGTTAGTCGTCAGCTAATTTCTACATATATGCGTTTCTTCTATGGTCGAGTGGTCGACTGTAATTCAATTTACAAACACTGGCGATCTATGTTCAAACTCAAGTGTCGGCAGCGATATTTTATTCCTGTATAACAATAGGCTATTTAATGCTGAAATCTAAATAATTTGAACACAATTTTATGGCTTCAACTAAATATATTTTGAATGCAATCGTATGCCTTTCAATACAGATAAGTTGTGTTGTTGGTCATTTTAATATATGTATTGTTGATCTTTATATAAAAATGTATTGCTGGTATTTTTACTATTGAGATATATTTTTTATACTTTCATAGCATTTTTGTTTAGCTGGGACCATAACAGTTGCTACCACTCCGGGTCAGGGTGGACCTGAGAAGAACAACAATTAAGAGGTAGTTCCACGTTCCCCACGATCTCCAATCTCCCGATCAGAGGCCTTGCTGCCGGATGTAGTTTATCGTCATACCCATGACTTGATGGACAATTACTAATGAGTTTAATCATCATTAGGTACTTCATACTGGTGGCCTAGTGCTAAAATCTCATGGGATAGTGGTTTATAAGGTTAGTCTGGTGATCCATTCCAGCTGAATAGTGAGTCTAATCCACACTGGGTGGCTTATACAAAAAAGACGCTTTGGCATGGTGTAATGGTGAATAAGCTCGTCTAGTTGACCATTACTACTGAGTAGTGAGTTTGATCCTCACTGGGTGCCCCCATACAAACTTCGACATTAAATAACCTGTTATATTGTAAAATCAACCATCCAGCCAAAATATATGTTGACGTTGTATTTTTAGTCTTGAAGCAATTTATTTATTTTTTTAAATCTTTCCAATAATAAAAATTTTCGAACTATTAAAAATAAAAAAAACAAGAAATAGCTTAGTAGTATAAATAAAAAAAGACTAAAATACTATATTACACCCTAGTGAATTGTTTATCAAACCAGGTTTCGACCTGTTGATATGTCGTGTCCAAACAAGTTAATTAAACATCATGTACCCAATAAGACACTGAAATTGCAAGAGTAAACCTGTTAGCTGTGAGAGAGGCTATCAGTGTCATCGCGTTGTCAAAGAGGCTATCGCTGTCACCACGTTGTGAAAGCGGAGATCATCCTCGGTGCGCTGTTGTGAAAAACGATATACGTTTCGTCGCAGTGTGAACAGCAATATCAATGTCATTGCCTTGTGAAACAGAAAATCACTTTTGAAACTTAATTTAAGTAATCCATAGACACGCAAGGTCTAAGACAATTGTTTGA